AATATTATCAAGCGTCAAAACGCTGAGAAATAGCATGTGGTAAGAGTTATTATGTATCTACAATTAAACTAATATTTAAATCCCGGTCTGCCATATGAGGTCTATATACGAGAGAATATGTTGCCTTCTAGAGTTATATAAATACATAAACACATTATATAATAAAATATATAAAATCTGTTTTTATGTATAAAATTCTGAATAACCACACCGCACCAAATCTAAGAACATCCTTTCGATTGAATAATGAATGTGATAATACCTATGATCTTAGAAATAGAGAAACCGATTTGTCTCTTCCTAAACCGAATACCGATTCTGGTAAAAGATGCTTCAAATATAAACGGAGCAGTAGTATGGAATAATTTACCGTATGAGGTAAAAGTAGCGGAATCTTTAAGTTCTTTTCAAAGAACTATTAATCAGGCAAACACTTAAAATTGGGTAGTCCTGTTGCCTACTGTATATGTAATTCTTCTTTCTTTGTTTTTGTATTTTTAAGGTTTACCTATACTGTATATTTCTCCAAATCACGCCCCTCATGGAAATCAGCTCCGAGTTGTTGAGGCCAGCGTGTTTAATAAATTTTTGTATGTATGTATGTATGTATGGAAATTAGAGATTATGATATATAATTGTCAAGCGATTTCTATATTTTATTGCTAGTTTTTTAACTTAAGTACTAAAAGTCGGATAAGGTTAATACATTTAAGCTATATTAAAGCACACCGGTTGCTATGTGTTAGGATGACACTAATTAAAGGATTAACTTTTATCAGAGAATTGCATTTTTCTACTGTGTGGATAAATACGGGTAGCTTAGGATATTTATTGCGCGGGCGTCGCGGGTTATCCGTGCGGGAAGAGAGAAAGCAATTTAGACAAGACAGGAGCGCTTTGCAGCCAAAGGTTTACACAAGAATTCAGTATTAAAATACATTTATTTCTTCGAGACGTTTACACAGTTAATGTGGTCTACTTCTTAGAGCATAATGTGTTTGATTTTATTTAAATTACGCAGAACAATTTAAATGTTTTTTGTCATAAGAATCGTTTGGTTTAATTGTTCATTCGCAATGGTTTCTTTAACAAAAGTTCGGACCGTTGGCTCGTCTTCGTGCAGATTCACCCACTTCATACGACCCGATTGGTTCATTATTTTGACAGGCCAATAATTCTCTCCGCCGATGTAGACACCCGGATGGCTAGGATTAAAAATATTTCGCGATGACTAATACATTTCTGTAATAACATATCCTTCTGGAATGTTACGGACCACCTGTGCTTCTTTGGTGTAGCTTTGTCATTCGGAGATAGTTGCATCCGACCAGGTAATATGTCTCTGATGTTTAGGTTGTTTCCTTCTAGGTTTGGTTTCGACCGGTGTCGGCTCGATACTAGTACTGTTCACTTTAGTTTGGGTGGCGAAGAGATAAACACGGCAGTCGCCAAACAGGTCCCCAAGAACTTGCTTACCTGCTGGTGTATCAGGCTTGGTATCCACCAACAAGTATCCAAACGGTTTTTCAGTCCCTTTGTAATAGACGTTCATAAAGTGGACTCTATTCCTATCAAACATTCGTTCTCCAACAATTCTAATTTGTTTCTTATCACTAGGACTTCGGAAGAGAGCAAGATATTGGGCATTTCGGCTAATATCTGTATTGAATTTCCCCTTAGGAAACATGTTCTGAAGCAAAAGGATAACACTAGCGTTTCTATGACGTCCCTGGGTAAATAATCGAGCTACCACAGGACTGTCTGTCGCTTCGGCCATCAAATCATCCAGTATGATTACGTTGTTGTAACAGGTATTAATCTCACTCAGATCCTCGGACAACTCGGGCAAACCTCTTTGAAATCGGATACTTTTCCCAAGGGACTTTTTTAACTCATCGTAACGATCTTGCCATTGATTGTAGCACCAATGAATGCGAATACTTCTCTGCTCCTCGTACACGATACGATTGTTTTCCAATATTTGTTGGATGGCTCCTAACTCCTATACTCCTGGCCCTACATCGAACCTACATCGACCCTACATCGACCCCACATCGACCCCACATCGATCCTACATCGACCCTACATCGACCCTACATCGACCCTACATTGACCCTACGTCACACCCACATGTCGCCGTAAAAAATATATATATAAATGTTTTCAAGCCATTTATTCTCGGTCATTTATGATTGAACTTTCAAAGTGTCAACATGCCCTATAAGCACAAAAGAGACTGTCCTCTCTGTAACAAGCCTTGCCTTCTATATATAAGTGATCATTTGCGCCAAGTACATAACTTATACGGAGATCAAAGGAAAAAGTGGTTAGGAAGGGCGAGGTTCTCAGCACCGCATAGCCACAACTCAAATTTGCTGCCCATACGACCGGCACATATACTAAAAGAAGTGAAGTGTGTTCGAAAGAAAACAAGGTCTGTACTAAAACCAACAAAAACCGTACCGAAAGTTACATCATCTTTGACCACCAAACCCTATCCAGAATTCAACTTCCGCCATAAATTTTCGCTAGTGGTCGTGGGTCCGAGCCAAAGTGGGAAAACTTATTTTGTCCAACAAATATTGGAAAACAATCGTATCGTGTACGAGGAGCAGAGAAGTATTCGCATTCATTGGTGCTACAATCAATGGCAAGATCGTTATGATGAGTTAAAAAAGTCCCTTGGGAAAAGCATCCGATTTCAAAGAGGTTTGCCCGAGTGTGAGATTAATACCCGTTACAACAACGTAATCATACTGGATGATTTGATGGCCGAAGCGACAGATAGTCCTGCGGTAGCTCGATTATTTACCCAGGGACGTCATAGAAACGCTAGTGTTATCCTTTTGCTTCAGAACATGTTTCCTAAGGGGAAATTCAATACAGATATTAGCCGAAATGCCCAATATCTTGCTCTCTTCCGAAGTCCTAGTGATAGGAAACAAATTGGAATTGTTGGAGAACGAATGTTTGATAAGAATAGAATCCACTTTATGAACGCCTATTACAAAGAGACTGAAAAACCGTTTGGATACTTGTTGGTGGATAACAAGCCTGATACACCAGCAGATAAGCAAGTTCTTGGGGCCGTGTTTGGCGACTGCCGTGTTTATCTCTTCGCCACCCAAACTACAGTGAACAGTACTAGTATCGAGCCCACACCGGTCGAAACCAAACCTAGAAGGAAACAATCTAAACATCAGAGGCATATTACTTGGTCGGATGCAACTATCTCCAAATGGCAAAACTACACCAAGGATGCACAGGTGGTCCGTAACATTCCCGAAGGATATGTTATCACAGAGATGTATAAGTCATCGCGCAATATTTTAATCCTAGCCATCCAGGTGTCTACATCGGCGGAGAAAATTATTGGCCTGTCAAAATAATGAGCCAATCGGGTCGTATGAAGTGGGTGAATCTGCACGAAGACGAGCCAACGGTCCAAACCTTTGTTAAAGAAACCATGGCGAATGAATAATTAAACCGAACGACTCTTATTACAAAAAAAATTTAAATTGTTCTGCGTAATTTAAATAAAATCAAACACATTATGCTCTAAGAAGTAGACCACATTAACTTTGTAAACATCTCGAAGAAATAAATATATTTTAAGACTGAATTCTTGTGTAAACTTTTGGCTGCAAAGCGCTCCTGTCTTGTCTAAATCGCTTCCTCTCTTCCCGCACGGATAACCCGCGACGCCCGCGCAATTAATATCCTAATCTACCCGTATTTATCCACACAGTAGAAAAATGCAAATATCTGATAAAAGTTAATCCTTTAATTAGTGTCACCCTAACAACGCATAGCAACCGGTGTGCTTTAATATAGCTTAAATTTATTAATCTTATCCGAGTTTTAGTACTTTAAAAAAAAACTAGCAATAAAATATAGAAATCGCTTGACAATTATATATCATAACCTCTAATTTCCATGTGTTTATATAACCCTAGACAGCAACATATTCTCTCGTATATAGACCTCATGTGGCAGACCGGGATAAAAATATTATTTTAATTGTAGATAATAACTCTTACCGCATGCTATTTCTCAGCGTTTTGACGCTTGATAATATTTATGTATTACTTAACAACAAAACATATAGCTGTATACCCCGAATATATAAGTTTTAGATATATAACACTAATGCTATTTGATATAATATCAGATTTTTTACTCCTCTAGGAGCTAAATTAAAGGAATCACTTGACAATAACAGCAAAATGCCAGAGCTGTATCATAAACGTGGAGGGACGCTAAAAAATGCGTAGTCAGCAAATTTTGTTCAATTTCGCCCGAACAGGCCCGCGTGACGTCATTACTTACCTGATCCTCCCCGCGTGACGTCACTACGCACCCTCATTTGTGCGGCCCCCTTAATTACCTGCATATATAATGTGCGCCGCCCCCTTGCATAGTAATTACCTGCATATATAATGTGCGGCCCCCTTGCATAGTAATTACCTGCATATATAATGATGCGGCCCCCTTGCGGCCCCCTGCGGCCCCCTGAAAATAAGGGTCGAACGGTACCTATATTACTACTTATATAATTGCCAAACAGCTATACTTTAGTTTAACGTAGACATCTCAAGGAAAACTGCATTCTTTTATGATTTTTGTGGCGGTCGGATCCTTGTTTTTTGTTTATTTTTCACTGTTTTCTAGTGTTTTGAATAAAATTCCCGCCTATTTGCAAAATACGAGTCCACAATCATGTTGAAAATGTGTCAGTGGTCGTTACTCGCTGCTTACTTTATGTAATTTTGGGTTTAAACGCCCCACGCAAGCCCCACGCACAGTTAACTACGTGATTAGTTAACTATCCGACTAACTACGTTTTGTGCAACGCAGTTAAGTCATGTAGTTAACTAATTACAGTTAAGGATTTAACTACAGTGATTATCGCTAACTACAGTTAGCGCTAACTACGTTTTTATACAACCGGCCCCTGCAGTATAGTATACAAATAATAAATGTTTATGAGTGCAATGGTAAGAATATTTTCATGAGGTGAAAGATGGAAAGTTCCATTCAACGAGGCGACAGCCGAGTTGAATGGAACATTCCATCTTTCACCGAATGAAAATATTCTTACCATTGCACGAAGAAACATTCATTATTTGTTTTATATAATACCAAAATAGACTAATAGATTCGTATGAGAAGCATTTTGAGGGATGCGATTTATCGAAAACACAAAGAGTGCAATTGTACTATACGTTTTATTCCATTGCACTCGCGGAGAGTGCAATGGAACGTGTTCCATTGCACTCTTGGGAAATGGAATTTTTTATTCAATATCACGTGACCATAAACAGCCAATTAAATGATTAGAATTTAGTAAGGTATTATATAATATATCTTGTAGGGCGTTCTGGAATGACGACTACAGTCTACACCCACCAGCAATGTGTAGTACGTTGCATTTTTTTTGTACACCGAATAAGAACATTATTTGGGTAAATTCTTTATCTTATGGTAATGAATTTTATACGTTTTCATGTTTCATGGTCAGAGGCGGAGCCTCGACTATGACAATATTTATAAACCAATTATCAAAGTTAAAGAAAGACTGTGCAGTAAAGACGACAATTTGTTAATACCATTTTTATCGAAGCTGGTCGTTTTCTTTGGTCGTTTCGTTTCTCTTTTCTCTGTCACTCCACGTGCATTTTCAATTAAGATCAATTTTCTGTTGCGTTTCTGCTGAGATCTGGAAACGAACTAAAAAGATCAATTAATCAAGTTGTATCACTTGTATCAATGATCACAGTAAGGCAGAGTCACAGCAAATACTAACAGCTATAAAGTGATTTTGGAAAATAGCCCTTCTGGGCTCGATAATTTACTTTTCAGTCATTCAGAATAATTTGGCGATACCAGAAGATCCCAAACTACCCATATTACAAACATAAAATTGACACAAATTTTGCAGTATTTTCATTTTAGTGGACATTTTACAATTGCGCACTTTTTTTTACATCCTAGGCCCGTCCTATACAAACACATATAGTAAAATGCATGCAAAGCCTGGCGCACACAAAGCGATTTTAATCGGCCGATTAAAATCGCATAGTGTGAGCCAGATTTAAAACACCGTCAGCATCAGTCTGATTATATACCGTTTTCATTCATGGCAGCTCATCAATACCATTTATGCATGGGTAGAATATCATGATTCCTGAGCTAAAAAATACTGATTTATGGGCTATAATAATTAATCATGTATAATTATTGATGACATTTAATGATTGAATGATTATACTGATATAGCCCATTAATCATTACAGGTAAACATCAAGATTTTTCCATCTCGTTTGGACACAAATAATGGTACAAACTGCATGTAGATTGATTTTTTTGAGGAAGACCAATTTACCAGCACAAGTACTAGTACAAAACACATTTATACCTAATCATATAGGAGCAGTTGCGAAAAATACACTTATAAACCCTCTGGGGCAGGGGTCGGTCCAATTAGCTACAGAGTTCAGTTGCTGATCGACCACAGATCCATGAATGGCAAGTCATTATTTTGAAATCAAAAAGGACCAATGATCACATCTGTATAATCGTAATCTATAATTTGTGTATCGATTAATCTTATTCACGCCGTCTTTAACGACATCAAAATAAACAACCATGCAATTGATACACATTGAGATACTCCAGATACTGATCCAACTATAACATCGTCCCTAACTAATTTGGCTAGTTTTACCGTGTCTTGGCAAATATAGAACACGACTATATACCCGCTCTAACTTCATATAGCTAGGCAGAATTAACACCCCACTATAGTTAAAATGCAAGTTCGTTAATTGGAAAGCTACTAACAGCAACTTGTTCCAGCTTTCATGCTGAGACAAATTAAAAAATCCATACTAAATATCAAAGCTCTAGCTGTGCATGTATATGAATTTACGTGTTCTGGATTTAAAGCAGATACATAGGTAAAACGAATCGCTGCTTTTCTACACTAGAATCAAGGAAAACTCGCTGGACAATAAATCACACGGGAACATTTTCAACACATCATATCTGTTTTAGAATGAAACTCAACCTCAACTTGTATACTACCAGTCTGTACATTATATAGACAGATCTGATCATTGGTCCTTTTCACTTTTTAAAGAATCGCTTGTCATTCAACGTTTTAAACCTGAACTCAATTACGGAACTAAATCAGGTGTAAAATAAAGACCTCGTAATGTGTTTGTACATATAATATCAAATAAACTTAATCTTCACCTATAAATATTGTTGTTATGTACTAGTATCATTCCTATTCAATGAGTGAAAGTTCAATCTGAGTTTCTCTCGAGTTCATTGCTGTTTTTGAATAGCTGGTGGGTTAGTGTCGTAACTTACTGTGTGACTACTCACTCTCCAGCCATTCAAAAACAGCATTGATACTCAAGAGAAGCTCAGATTGAACCTCCACTCATTGCTTGTGAGTGTGCTTTTAGAATACAAGCATAATAAACACCCATACTAAGCTTCAAGAAAAATATTTCCAGAATTTACTGTATGACTTGTTTTTGACTTGAAGATTTTCTTCTGAATGCAGGGCATGAAATTAGAAATTTTCATCACTACCCATGCAAGTACTGGTATGCTAGAAACTTAAAATCTGATAAACACCCCGGAAATCTAGTATCCAACATATGGATAATAATATTCAAAACAGGGCAAAATGAGTTTTCAGTTGCAATTAAATCCATCTAATGAATTAACTAATATAATTTGTATATGTATATGAAGGATTCATAAACAACACAAAAATACTGTATCGTGTTACCAAAAATTTCAAGCCCTATAGACTGCATGAAGTCTTTGTGCATGTCATTTTTTGCTTCTACAGTCCTCCCTCCCCCAACTCACTACATGCATTTCATAGCAATCGGTTTTATACATTAGAATAATTTAAGTCTCATGATCATGCTTGATTTTAATATTTGATTAACACATAAATTAGGAACACATTTGTACTATCCATGTGCAATACTGTAACAATTGAGGAAACTTTCTCGTTGTTAACATGTCTAACATTTAAAGTTTTATATTAATGTAAAAATCTATGTAATTCAGTCATTTTGCCTTATGAAAGAACTGAAGGAGGTGATATGGTCCAACAATTCTGACATGTCCAAACTATCAGATATTTTTTATTTGATTAATTAAGTCTTTTCAGTACAAGGGATTCTAAGGAAACTGAATATTCTAAATTAACTTGAAAACAGTAAAAAATAGTAAACGAATTATGAATTGTATCAACTAGGTTTATAGGGATGAAGAGAAAGCTCTAAAATTGCTGGTTGGCATTTTTTTCTGACATGGAGCAAATTCGTGAAATTTCTATTCATGCAGCAAATTAGTGGTGCATGCCCTGGCATTTGTTTACTTTCCTATATCAATGTATTAAAACACATTAACTGATTTAACATCATTTGGCAAGCCAAAATGGTGGCGTAGTCAAGCTGTGTGACAATACAAGGCAAATGGTTAGCTTAATTAGTGTAAAATATTGATGGATAATTAACATGATATACTATAAATTGTTCAGAATAGTATTAAATGTTAATAATGATACCACAAAATATAGTGGGGAGATGTGATTTTTTGAACACTTGTTGCATAATATATGAACTATGACAACTAGCATCAATGCATGTTCACGTGTGATACATCATGCATGTCAGATCTTGATTTAATACAGCATTTATAGTAAATCATCATTAAAATCATGACTTTCATGACCACCCATTTTAGTATTTGTACTAAACATATTTTTTATGCTGGTGCTCTATTTATATAATTTCTATCTAGATTGGGGTAGAATTATGTCCACACTGATGACTGATAGTTATAGCTTAAGACTTTATAATTCACATTATAATATTTTATAATAAACAAGCAAGAATATTAACGTCAATGCTAGCTTAGGCTTTTAAAAATTTAATAAATATTGAGGCCAGTTTCAGGTTAAAAGCACAGTCTGGCTTTGCCTATAAGTACTCTGCCTTTGATCGCATGGTAGCTAATATAAATTAGTTTGACCAAATTCAGGTCTTGTTTAAATCAAAAAGGCAGAAAACATGTGGGCTATACCTTATATATACATGAGAAAATATGCAAAAATAAACAGCAAGATACAGTAACTCCAAATCCTGGCTAGAAATAAAAGGTTAAAAACTATAGAAGGGGCACTCCGTGACTCCGGCCTTTTTCTTTGTAGTTAATCTAGCCTTGAAGTTTAAACACTTAGCAATATACATGCTATAAACTAAATATTAAAGTTATATTATATCTAGACATATGGACATATGAGTTCAAAATCAAATAATGTGAAATCAAAACGGTCCAATGAATCTCAGCGGTCAACTCAAAAACAGTTGTAAAATAAAATATAACCAATTAGATATGAAGTAATTGTCTACTAACCTTCCTTTTAGGAGTCCAAATACAACTTTCATTCTCGTTTAGGTTCTGAAATAACATCTTTTTGGTGGAGAAACGGAAGCCATTTTGTTGTTTTGTCGAATCTTCTTGTTAAACAAAAATTCGCATTTCCAAACATTTCAAGCTTTAATCGTCGGATATCTTTCAGTCAAGGCAACATACTCAACATTTCCACCTTTTACTGTCCTTTCATCGCTGAAATATTATGTGGGGGGGGGGGAGAGTCCACTCTATATATTTGAAGTAATTGCTTTAATTTCTCAACAGGCCCGTGTCGTCCCTTATCAAGCATGCATGTTTGCAAAAAAGTTGGGATATTTCAGCGTAAATGGTCAGGTGTCTAAAGTAACCCTTTACTACTGAATAAAAGCTTTGAAGCTTGCTTTCGGTCATTATTAATAATAAACCCCGCTCAGTTTTCCCTCATTCGTCACTGTTGAGTGTTGGGCAGTTTTATCGGCAAGATTCCGAGCTTAGGGAATGGTCATTATTTATGGGGAGAAGGAGGGGGGTTTGGGAAATGGGGGGGAGCAGAATAGGGGGGCCAAAAAAGTTTTAAAGCAGAGAAAGGGGGGGGTCAAAAAAGTGTTTGAACTTAAATACCATGTCTAGAGTTTTGATTTCTATAATCACAAATAGCAAAAAAGAAACCTCTGAAAATACTATTTCCAACGATCTAGAGACTCACAATTTTCAAAATTTCCCTGCTCGACGCCAACCATGGTAGCGCCTCGCGATCGTGGGAGTCGCGCCCACTAAGTTTTAACAAGCTTCCTAGCCCATGAGTGACCCAGTTGTGGTAGTTACATAAACATACCATGCAAGTACACTTAACTGATCAGATTCGGTCTATCAAAGCACAATATGTAATGCTGTATATCCAAAAATCTGTTTCAGAAAATGCTCACATTTTAGTTCTAGGGGGTGGAAAAATACAAAAAATACGTACAGTACATACAATACCACAGACCCTAATATCCCCAGACCCCCCTACTAGTACATACGATACCACACCAAACGTTTTGCCACCAACAACCATCTATCGTCTCTCAACACTCAATATAGTATGGTCCCTTTTTGTAGATGCCCACCCCCCAGACAAGTCATTTCGTTGTATGAAGGCGGGCCATGGGTTAGGGTTATGTTATTACAAATGTTGCATTGCAAAGTAGTAACACATAATATATATTTTTATTCATATATGATTGAATCATATTCACCAGGGTAAACATCATGAGCTAGATTAAACAGAGTGTCCTAATATCTAACTTTACCTGCAACGCACACCTGTTTCATTGCTGTTAATTTTCCAATCTACACTGGGGGGGGGGGGGTGTCAAAAAAGTTGTCAATCCTTATTTTCCACATTTACAACCCTCCCCCCTCCCCATAAATAATGACCACTCTCTTAGCACCGAAAGCCTTATAGGAGAGAATATACTAAAGAATATATATACAACATCAGATGAACTATTCTCCAAAGTAAAGTAACGAAGGAGTTAATATTTGTAACGTGTGTATTTACACAATGGATTTACTCTGCGGGCAAATTTGTTGTAAATTTAGACATAGATTTGCCATTGAAATTTAATATGGCAGTAGCATTAGTAATTTCTTGCAAAGTCAATATACGCAATGAATTTGTTTCGCTTGCCAGTGTGTTGTAAACATAGATATAAATTTGCCATTGCAAATTTATACTGCAAAAGCATTAGTAATTTCTTGCAAAGTCAATATACGCAATGAATTTGTTTCGCTTGGAAATTTGTTGTAAATTTAGATATAAATTTGCCATTGAAAATTCATATTGCAAAGGCATTAGCAATTTCTTGCAAAGTAAATATACGCAATGAACTTGTTTCGCTTGCAAATTTGTTGTAAATTTAGATATAAATTTGCTATTGAAAATTCATATTGCAAAGGCATTAGTAATTTCTTGAAAAGTTAAGGAGAGTTAAAATTTGTAAAAAATACGCAACGGATTTACTTCGCTAGCAAATTTGATGTAAATTTAAATAAACATATGCCACAGGGAATTTCTTATGGCAAAGTCATTAGTATTTTTTTGACAAAGTTAATTTACGCAATGAACTTATTTCGCTGGCAAATTTATTGCAAAGTTACAAATAAATTTGCAAATTGTGCAAAGCAGCTTGCAAATTTTAAGTAAATTTAGTAGTTGCAAATCTAAAACACTTCATACGCAATGTTATTGCAAAATTAGTTATTGAATTTGCAACTAATTTGCAAGTGTGCAAATTTATTGCAAATCTGTTTTTTAGCCCCGTGTATAGCAGAAATCCCTTTGCAAAAGCAGCTCTCCCTTTTCAAAAACAGAATTCCCTTTTCAAATAGCGGAACTTTCTTTTCAAATAGTAGAACTCCCTTTTCATATAGCGGAGCTCTCTGTTCAAATATCATAACTTCCTCTTGATATAGAAGAACTCCCCTTCCAAATAGCTGAACTTCCTTTTCAAATAGCTGAAATCCCTTATCAAAAGCAGCTCTCCCTTCTCAAAAACACAACTCCCTTTTCAAATAGAGGAGCTTTCTTTTCAAATAGCAGAACTCCCTTTTCAAATAGCATAATTCCCTTTACAAAAAGCAGCACTCCCTTCTCAAAAAGCAGAACTCCGTTTTCAAATAGCTGAGGTTTCTTTTCAAAGACCAGATCTTCCTTTTCAAATACTAGAACTCCCTTTTCAAATAGAAGAACTCCCTTTTCAGAGGGCAGAACTCCCTTTTCAGACGGCATAACTTCATTGTCAAATAGCAGAACTCCCATTTCAAACAGCAGAACTCCCTTTTCAAGTAGCGGAGATTTCTGTTCAGATAGTAAAACTTCCTTTTCAAATAGTAGAACTTCTTTTTCAAGTAGCCGAACTCCCTTTTCAAATAGCGAAGCATTCCTTTCAAATAGCAGAACTCTCTTTTCAAATAGAAGAACATCATTTTCAAATAGCAGGTCTCCCTTTTCAAATAGCAGAACTCCCTTTTCAAAAGCAGAACTCACTTTTCAAATAGCAGAACTCCCTTTTCATAAGCGGAACTCCTTTTTGAAATACCTGAGCTTACTTTTCAAACGCAGAACTTCTTTTTCAAATAGCAGAACTCCCTTTTGAAATAGCGGAGATTTCTTTTCAAAGAGCAGAACTTCCTTTTCAGAGAGGTGAACCCACTTTTCAAATAGCTGAACTCCCTTTGCAAGGAGCAGAACTCCTTTTTCAAATAGCAGAATTCCCTTTGCAAGGAGCAGAGCTACCTTTTCAAATAGCAGAACTCTCTTTTCAAATAGTGGAACTCCCTTTTCAAATGCAGATCTCCCTCTTCAAACAGCGGAGCTCTCTTTTCAAATTGCACAACTTTCATTTCAAATGGCTGAACTCCCTTTTCAAATTTCAGAACTTCCTTTTCAAATTGCAGAACTCCCCTTTCAAATAGCAGAACTCTCTTTTCAAATAGAAGAACTTCCTTTCAAATAGCAGAACTTCCTTTTCAAATAGCAGAACTTCCTTTTCAAAAGTAGAACTCCCTTTTCAAAGAGCAAGACAGCCTTTTCAAAATAGCAGAATTCCATTTTCAAATTGAAGAACTCCCTTCTCAAATAGGAGAACTCCCTTTTCAAAGGCAGAACTCCCTTTTCAAAGAACGGACCTTCCTTTTCAAATAGCAGAACTTCCTGTTGAAATAGCAGGACTACCTTTTCAATTAGTCGAGCTTACCTTTCAAATAGCAGAACTCCCTTTTCAAAGAGCAGGACTCCTTTTCAAATAGCAGAATTCCCTTTTCAAACAGCAGAGCTCCCTTTTCAAATAGCGGAGCTTTCTTTTCCAAGACCAGAACTACCATTTCAAATAGAAGAACTTCCTTTTTAAATGCAGAACTCCCTCTTCAAATGGCGGAGATTTCTTTTCAAATAGCGGAGCTTTCTTTTCAAATAGCAGAACTCCCTTTCAAATAGCCGAACTCACTTTTCAAATAGCAGAATTCCCTTTTCAAAAGCAGAAGTCCCTCTTCAAATAGCGTAGCTTTCTTTTGAAATAGCGGAGCTTTCTTTTCAAATAGCTGAACTCCTTTTCAAATAACAGAACTCCCTTTTCCAGCAGCAGTACTCCGTTTTCAGAAGCAGCACTCCGTTTTCAAAAACACAACTCCCTTTTCAAATGGTGCAATTTCTTTTCAAATAGCAGAACTCCCTTTTCAAACAGCAGGACTCGCCATTCATATAGCGAAGCTTTCTTTTCAAATAGCAGATCTCCCTTTTCAAAAGCAGCACTCCACTTCGAAAAAACAGAACTCGCTTTTCAAATAGCAGAACTCCCCTTTCAAAAGGAGCACTCCCTTTTCAAAAACAAAACTCGCTTTACAAATAGCGGAACTTTCTTTTGAAATAGTAGAAATCCCTTTTCAAATAGCGGAGCTCTCTGTTCAAATATCATAACTTCCTTTTGATATAGCAGAACTCCCCTTCCAAATAGCAGAACTCCGTTTTCAAATAGCAGAAGTCCCTTTTCAAAAGCAGCTCTCCCTTTTCAAAAACAGAACTCCCTTTTCAAATAGCGGAGCTTTCTTTTCAAAAAGCAGAAATCCCTTTTCAAATAGCAGAACTCCCTTTTAAAATGGTAGAGCTTTCCTTTCAAAAGGCAGAACTCCCTTTTCAAATAGCAGGACTGCCTCTTCAAATTGCAGAACTCCCCTTTCAAATAGTAGAACTCTCTTTTGAAAAGCAGAAGTCCCTTTTGAAATAGCGGAGCTTTCTTTTCAAATAACACAACTTCCTCTTCAAATAGCAGAATTTCCCTTCCAAATATCAGTACTTCCTTTTCAAATAGCAGAACTCCCTTTCAAAAGCAACGCTTCCTTTTCAAAAACTGAATCTCTTTTCAAATAGCGCAAATTTCTTATCAAATAGCAGAACTGCATTTTCAAATAGCGGAGCCTTCTTTTCAAATAACGGAGCTCTCTTTTCCAGCAGCAGAACTCCCCTTTCAAATAGCAGAACTTCCATTTCAAGTAGCAGAACTCCCTTTTCAAAAGCAGAACTCCATTTTCAAATAGCGAAGCTTTCTTTTCAAATAGTTGATCTCGCTCTTCAAAAAGCAGCACTCCGCTTCGAAAAAGCAGAACTCGCTTTTCAAATAGCAGAACTCCCGTTTCAAAAGCAGCACTCCCTTTTCAAAAACAGAACTCCGTTTTCAAATAGCGGAACTCTCTTTTCAAATGGTAGAACTCCCTTTTCAAATAGCGGGGCTCTCTGTTCAAATATCAGAACTTCCTTACGATATAGCAGAACTCCCCTTCCAAATAGCAGAACTCCCTTTTCAAATAGCAGAAATCCCTTTTCAAAAGCAGCTCTCCCTTTTCAAAAACAGAACTCCCTTTTCAAATAGCGGAGCTTTCTTTTCAAAGAGCAGAAATCGCTTTTCAAATAGCAGAACTCCTTTTTCAAATGGCGGAGCTTTCCTTTCAAATGGCAGAACTCCCTTTTCAAAGAGCTGAACTCTTTCTTCAAATTGCAGAACTCCCCTTTCAAATTGCAGAACTACCTTTTCAAATAGCAGAACTCCTATTTCAAACGCATAACTCCATTTTCAAATAGCGGAGCTTTTTTAGAAATAGTAGAAGGTACTCATCAAATAGGTGAGCTTTCTTTTCAAAGAGCAGAAGAACCTTTTCAAATAGCACAACTCCCTTTTCAAATAGCCGAACTCCCTTATCAAGAGCAGCACTCTCTTTTCAAAAACGGAACTCCGTTTTCAAATAGCGGGGCTTACTTTTCAAAGAGCAGAAATCCCTTTTCAAATTACAGAACTCCCTTTTCACGAGCAGAACACCCTTTTCAAATAGCGGAGCTTTCTTTTCAAAAGCAGGACTCTCCTTTTAAATAGCAGAACTCCCTTTTCAAATAGCGGAGCTTTCTTTTCAAAGAGCATAACTTCCTTTTCAGCTGGCGGAACTCCCTTTTCAACTGGCAGAACTCCCTTTTCAAGGAGCCGAACGACCTTTTCAAATTACAGAACTCTCTTTTCAAATAGCAGAACTCCCTTTTCAAAAGTAGTGCTCCCTTTTCAAATAGCAAAGCTTTCTTTTCGAATAGCGGAGCTTTCTTTTTTCAAATAGCAGAACTCCCTTTTCCAATAGCAGATCTCCCTTTTCAAGTAGCGTAACTCCCTTTTCAAAAGCAGAACTCCCTATTCAAATAGAGGGGATTTATTTTCAAAGCGGAGCTTTTTTTCAAAAGCCAAACTCCCTTTTCAAACTGCGGAAATCCCCTTTCAAATAGCAGAACTTCATTTTCAAATGGCGGAGATTCCTTTTCAAATAGCATATCTCCCTTTTCAAATAGCTTAACAGTAGTATAGGGAAAGGGGTGGCGAGACTTCTTTGCCCCGTCGAAAATGGGGCAAAATGACCTCGGATTCCCCTTTCCCCCCTTACTTTTCGATTTGGATTTTTGAGAAGCAAGTCTAATAAAAAGTGACTTGTGTAGGCTTTTTGAGGGCATTTTTTCAATTCCTTGAAAAAACGTGATTTTGATGGGAAACGTTGTTGTTTCACATACTACGGCAGGTTTAACGATCTTTTTCATGTGTGATTAAGTTGTGTAATTTTATATATGGTGATTGTTGATGAGAAACAGACTTATGATCTAATAATTTATCATTCAACCGAATCGTCTAACCGAATCATCTCTAATTCACCCACCACGTCATCTTTCAGTGTCACAGTCATAATCCGAGCTCTTCAGGGATAGGGCCTGTGTAAGCATTAACCTCAGCCTCACAAGAGTCAGTTGGATTCCTGCGTTTCACGTGAACGTCAGCAGATCACTCCAGAGGAAAATGTTTTGATTTCATTTTAAAAGTGAATGTTTTTGGAGCCCATGTCTGTGAGCTGATAATTCATTATTTAACCGAATCATCTCTAATTCACCCACAACTCATCTTTCAGTATCACAGCTACAATTCAAACTTTTCAAGGAGAGGGCCTGGGTAAGCATTAACCTCACAAGAGTCAGTTGAATTTCTGCGTTTCACGTGAACGTTAGCAGATCACTCCAGAGTACAATGTTTTGGTTTCAAGTAAAAAGTGAATGTTTTTGGAGCCCAGGTCTGTGAGCTCATAATTCATTATTTAACCGAATCATCTCTAATTCACCCACAACGTCACCTTTCAGTGTCACAGCTACAATCCGAGCGTTTCAAGGAGAGGGCCTATGTAAGCATTAACCTCAGCCTCACAAGAGTCAGTTGGATTCCTGCGTTTCACGAGGACAATGTTTTGGTTTCAAGTTAAAAGTGAATGTTTTTGGAGACCAGGCCTGTGAGCTCATAATTCATTATCTTACCGAATCATCTCTAATTCACCCACAACGTCGTCTTTCTGTCTCACAGAAATAATCCGAGCTTTTCAATGAGAGGGCCTGTGTAAGCATTAACCTCAGCCTCACAAGAGTCAGTTGGATTCCTGCGTTTCACGTGAACGTCAGCAGATCACTCCAGAGGAAAATGTTTTGATTTCATGTTAAAGTGAATGTTTTTGGAGCCCAGGCCTGTGAGCTCATAATTCATTATTTAACCGAATCATCTCTAATTCATCCACAACTCATCTTTCAGTATCACAGCTACAATCCGAGCTTTTCAAGGAGAGGGCCTGGGTAAGCATTAACCTCACAAGAGTCAGTTGAATTTCTGCGTTTCACGTGAGCGTTAGCAGATCACTCCAGAATACAATGTTTTGGTTTCAAGTAAAAAGTGAATGTGTTTGGAGACCAGGCCTGTGAGCTCATAATTCATTTTTTAACCGAATCATCTCTAATTCACCCACAACGTCATCTTTCAGTGTCACAGTCATAATCCGAGCTTTTCAAGGAGATCGCCTGTGTAAGCATTAACCTCAGCCTCACAAGAGTCAGTTGGATTTCTGCGTTTCACGTGAACGTCAGCAGATCACTCCAGAGGACCATGTTTTGATTTCATGTTAAAAGTGAATGTTTTTGGAGCCCAGGTCTGTGAGCTCATAATTCATTATTTAACCGAATCATCTCTAATTCACCCACAACGTCATCTTTCAGTGTCACAGCTACAATCAGAGCTTTTCAAGAAGAGGGCCTGGGTAAGCATTAACCTCACAAGAGTCATTTGATTTTCTGCATTTCACGTGAACGTTAGCAGATCACTCCAGAGTACAATGTTTTGCTTTCAAGTAAAAAGTGAATGTGTTTGGAGACCAGGCCTGTGAGCTCATAATTCATTATTTAACCGAATCATCTCTAATTCACCCACAACGTCACCTTTCAGTGTCACAGCTACAATCCGAGCCTTTCAAGGGAAGGGCCTATGTAAGCATTAACCTCAGCCTCACAAGAGTCAGTTGGATTCCTGCGTTTCACGAGGACAATGTTTTGGTTTCAAGTTAAAAGTGAATGTTTTTGGAGACCAGGCCTGTGAGCTCATAATTCATTATCTTACCGAATCATCTCTAATTCACCCACAACGTCATCTTTCAGTGTCACAGCTACAATCCGAGCTTTTCAAGAGGAGGGCCTGGGTAAGCATTAACCTCGCAAGAGTCAGTTGAATTTCTGCGTTTCAAGTGAACGTTAGCAGATCACTCCAGAGTACAATGTTTTGGTTTCAAGTAAAAAGTGAATGTGTTTGGAAACCAGGCCTGTGAGCTCATAATTCATTATTTAACCGAATCGTCTCTAATTGACCCACAACGTCACCTTTCAGTGTCACAGCTACAATCCGAGCTTTTCAAGGAGAGGGCCTGTGTAAGCATTAACCTCACAAGAGTCAGTGGAATTTCTGCGTTTCACGTGAACGTTAGCAGATCACTCCAGAGTACAATGTTTTGGTTTCAAATAAAAAGTGAATGTTTTTGGAGATCAGGCCTGTGAGCTCATAACCCACTATCTTACCGAATCATCTTTAATTCACCCACAACGTCATCTTTCAATGTCACAGTCATAATCCGAGCTTTTCAAGGAGAGGGCTTGTTTAGGCATTAACCTCGGTCTCTCAAGAGTTAGTTGGACTCCTGCGTTTCACGTGAACGTCAACAGATCGCTCCAGAGGACAATATTTTGGTTTCAAGTTAAAAGTGAATGTTTTTCGAGCCCAGGCCTGTGAGGTTATAATTCATTATTTAACCGAATCATCTCTAATTCACGCACAACGTCATCTTTCAGTGTCATAGCTACAATCCGAGCTTTTCAATGAGAGGGCCTGTTTAAGCATTAACCTCGGCCTCTCAAGAGTCAGTTGGACTCCTGCGCTTCACGTGAACGTCCGCAGATCACTCCAGAGGACAATATTTTTGTTTTAAGTTAAAAGTGAATGTTTTTGGAGCCCAGCCTGAGAGTTCATAATTCATTATCTTACCGAATCATCTCTAATTCACCCACAACATCATCTTTCAGTGTCACAGTCGTAATCCGAGCTTTTCAAGGGGAGGGCCTGTGTGAGTATTACCCTCCGGCTCTGAAGAGTCAGTTGGACTCCTGCGTTTGACGTGAACGTCAGCAGATCACTCAGGAGGGCAACGTTTTGCTTTCGGGTTAGAAGTGCATGTTTCTGTAACCCGAACTTGTGAACACAGAACTCATTACCCACCCGTGAGATTCTTTTCACACACAATGCTAACTTCTCCAACCTTTCAAAATAGGTTTTTAACTTTAGCTTTTCCTTCCACCAGGCAGTGTAATACGGGCAGTTGCGGGGAGTCCACCCCAGTTCAGGGAAAATGTAACCATACAGGAAATCTTCTCTGGCTCTAACAACATGTCCCATCCTAGCGTCTGTCATTACCGCTTCGATCCCAAGCATACTACACAGTCTCACCGCAAGGAACTTATTCATTAACCGCGTTTTACCGAAACCCTTTTTGTCAATTACCGCATACACATCTAGAAATGCCGCGAAAAGCCGCGTGTAATCTTCCCCCTCAAAGTTACTCCTGAGTAAAGCCGCAATGTCACTCTTCTTCCAGCTCTTCATTTTTTAATGCTATAGGTAATGTTTTATTTTTTCGCCAATATTCCTCCCAATATTCATTTCAAGGACGTCACCTATTGTGAGCGACAACGTAGTCACATGAAACACAATGACCAAGAACATCTTCTATCCACTCTTCGTAGAATTTACAACCATCAGCTTTAATATCAAGACCTGGCAACACCATACCGTACAACAGATACTCATGTCCTCGACTTACAAAGAAAGGCCAAATATCCTTGAGACGTACACTCCTTACTCCCATATCCAAGTGCGCTCCATATTCTCACAAATAGGAACCTGTATCTTGGTCCACCTTTTATTCCCAGTCTACGTATAAACTCAGTCACATCATACAACTTGTCGGTTGCACGCTCAACGTCACTGTTCACAACATACCGCTCAACTATTTTTCTAAGTGAACTTCTACTTTTGATGGGAAGCTTCTTGATACATAAGTCGTAACCTTTTATGAGAATCTTAAACCTATCAACATTTATTCTTATCATTGCGGGACAATTCATCTAACCTACAGTAATAAATATTTAACACCATCTCACAAGTCATCTTACAAGCAAATCCAGATGCATCTCACCAGTAAACCCCAGATGTCTCATAGTTGGATGTCAGCTCCCACAGGTCATCTCACAGATCATCTCATAGATCATGTTACACGCAACCCCAGATGCATCTCGACAGTAAACCCAGTTGTCTCACAGTTAACTACCCGCACTCACAGGTCACCTCACCAGTAAACTCAAGACATCTCACAAGTATTTTCCAGTCATCTCACCAGTTACCTTACAAACAAATTTCAGTCATCTCACAGACCATCTTACAAGCAAATTCAAGGTATCTCACGAGTAAAATCAAGGTGTCTCACCAGATATCTCACCAGCAAATTTAGGATAACTGGGCAGCATTTTTTAGTCATCTCACAAGCAAATTTGAGGTACCTCACGAGTAAAATCCAAGGTATCTATCGAGGTAATTTCAAGTAGAATCCAAGGTATCTATCAAGGTGAACCCAAGGTAAACTCAGGTAGAATCAAGGTCAGAGCACATTATACTCCCCCATTAGTTTTTACAACTTTTACGCCGTGTTCACCTCCCCATCCACGTTTCACACTAGTTCCATCCAAATGTTCATAGTTGACCGATTTCTTCCAATACAACATAAACAGGCCACCACTGAGGAGAGCTAATATTAAAACCAAATCTTCCATCGCTATAACACCACATACTTTTGAAAACTTTACCACAAACCAAAGGGAGCCCACCAGATGGGCCTCCTTTACAGTGAGTTATCTGTAACCAAATACCGGAATCAGAAAGGGGCTCCACCCGATTTAACCCTTCACCCTTACATATATACAGAAGCTTGAAGAAAGCTGCTACAGACTATGTATGAAACGGAAACAAAGTATCATTAGGGGAGCTCACAGAGGGCCTCCGATCCGAATATCACAATTAATTGTTGACTTAACACCCTCACAAAGCACACAAATTCGCACAATTTTAATTTACATTAATTTTTTTTAATTTTTAATTTTCGCAAATGCAAAAAATAGGGGTTCGAGACCGTCCCACATTTGTAAAAACTAATTTTTCCTATGCCCTATCATTCCCTGTAGGTCCTTTTGAATCATTACTTTTGTAAAGGCGGTTGTTTATGGGTTTTATTATTGTCTTGTATGTTGATTCAATTGATTTTTTATTGTGATGAAACGCGATCTGTGAAACAAAATGTGATTTGTGGGATTTCTGGGTGGGTTAAAATATTGTTGTGTGTTTTGTGGGGGTGTTAATCGGTCGGTAAAATGCTTTTGTAAACAATTAATTGTGATATGCGGAGGCCCTCTGTGAGCTCCCCCAAAGATACTTTGTTTCCGTTTCATACATAGTCTGTAGCAGCTTTCTTCAAGCTTCTGTATATATGTAAGGGTGAAGGGTTAAATCGGGTGGAGCCCCTTTCTGATTCCAGTATTTGATTACAGATGACTTACTGTAAAGGAGGCCCATCTGGTGGGCTCCCTTTGGTTTGCGGTAAAGTTTTTAAAAATATGTGGTGTTATAGATGGAAGATTTGGTTTTAATATTAACGCTCCTCAGTGGTGGCCTGTTTATGTTGTATCGGAAGAAATTGGTCAACTATGAACATTTGGATGGAATTAGTGTGAAACGTAGATGGGAAAGTGAACACGGAGTAAAAGTTGTAAAAATTAATGGGGGAGTATAATATGCTCTGACCTTGATTCTACTTGAGTTTACCTTGGGTTCACCTTGATAGATACATTGGTTTCTACTTGAAATTACCTTGATAGATACCTTGGATTTTGCTGGTGAGGTACCTCAAATTTTACTCTGAGATGACTAAAAAATGCTGCCCAGTTATCTTGAATTTGCTGGTGAGATATCTGGTGAGACACCTTGATTTTACTCATGAGATACCTTGAATTTGCTTGTAAGATGGTCTGTGAGATGACTGAAATTTGTTTGTAAGGTAACTGGTGAGATAACTGGAAAATACTTGTGAGATGTCTTGAGTTTACTGGTGAGGTGACCTGTGAGTGCGGGTAATTAACTGTGAGACAACTGGGTTTACTGTCGAGATGCATCTGGGCTTGCTTGTAAGATGATCTATGAAATGATCTGTGAGATGACCTGTGGGAGCTGACATCCAACCATGAGACATCTGGGGTTTACTGGTGAGATGCATCTGGATTTGCTTGTAAGATGACTTGTGAGATGGTGTTAAATATTTATTACTATAGGTAAGATGAATTGTCCCCCTATGATAAGAATAAATGGTGATAGGTTTAAGATCCTCATAAAAGGTTACGACTTATGTATCAAGACGCTTCCCATCAAAAGTAGAAGTTCACTTAGAAAAATAGTTGAGCGGTATGTTCTGAACAGTGACGTTGAGCGTGCAACCGACAAGTTGTATGATGTGACTGAGTTTATACGTAGACTGAGACTAAAAGGTAGACCAAGATACAGGTTCCTATTGGTGAGAAAATGAAGCGCACTTGGATATGGGACTAAGGAGTGTCTCAATGATATTTAGCCTTCCTTTGTAAGTCGAGGACATGAGTATCTATTGTACGGTATGGTGTTCCCAGGTCTTGACATTAAAGCTGATGGTTGTAAATTCTACGAAGAGTGGATAGAAGATGTTCTTGATCAGTGTGGTACTTGTAACTACGTTGTCGCTCACAATAGGTGGCGTCCTTGGAGTGAATTTTGGGAAGAATATTGGCGAAACCTTACCTATAGCATTAAAAAATGAAGAGCTGGAAGATGAGTGACATTGCGGCTCTACTTAGCAGTAACTTTGAGGGGGCAGATTACACGCAGCTTTTTGCGGCATTTCTAGATGTGTATCCGGTAATTGACAAAAATGTTTTCTGTAAAACGCGTTTAATGAATAAGTTCTTTGCGGTGAGACTGTGTAGTGTGCATGGGATCGAAGCGCTAATGACTGACGTTAGGATCGGACGTGTTGTTAGAGCCAGAGAAGATTTCCTGTATGGTGACATTTTCCCTGAACTGGGGTGGACTCCCCGCAACTGCCCGTATTACACTGCCTAATGGAAGGAAAATCTAAAGTTAAAAACCTATTTGGAAAAGTTGGGTCTAGAGGAGAAGTTAGCATTGTGTGTGAAATGAATCTCACGGATGGGTAATGAGTTCTGTGTTCACAAGTTCGGGTTACAGAAACATTCACTTCTAACCTGAAAGCAAAACGTTGCCCTCCTGAGTGATCTGCTTGTATTCACGTGGGATGATGGGATTCAACTGACTCTTGAGAGGCGGAGGTTAATACTCACACAGGCCCTCTCCATGAAAAGCTCGGATTATGAGTGTGACACTGAAAGATGATGTTGTGGGTGAATTAGAGATGATTCGGTTAGATAATGAATTATGAGCTCACAGGCCTTGTCTCAAAAAATATCCACTTTTTACTTGAAACCAAAACATTACCCTCTGGAGTGATCCTGCTAACGTTCACGTGAAACGCTGGAACCCAACTGACTCTTGTGAGGCTGAAGTTAATGCTTACACAGGCCCTCTCTTTGAAAAGCTCGGATTGTAGCTGTGACAATGAAAGATGACGTTGTTGGTGAATTAGAGATGATTAGGTTAGATAATGAATTATGAGCTCACATGCCTGCGGTCCAAAGAAATTAACATTTAACTTGAAACCAAAACCTTGTCCTCTGGAGTGATCTGCTGACGTGCACGTGAAACTCAGGAATCCAACTGACTCTTGTGAGGCTGTGGTTAACGCTTACACCGGCGCTCTCCTTGAAAAGCTCGGATTATGATTGAGACACTGAAAGATGACGTTGTGGGTGAATTAGAGATGATTCGGTTAGATGATTCGGTTGAATGATAAATTATTAGCTCATAAGCCTGTTTCACACCAACAATCACCATAATATTACACAACTTAATCACGCATGAAAAAGATCGCGAAACCCGCCTTAGTATCTGAAACAACAACGTTTCCCATCAAAATCACGTTTTTTCAAGGAATTGAAAAAAATGCCCTCAAGAACCCTCCACAACTCACCTTTTAATAGACTTGCTTCTCAGAAATTCAAATTTTCAGATAGCAGAACTCCCTTTTCAAATAGCAGAACTCCCTTTTCAAATAGCAGAATTCCCTTCTCAAATAGAAGAACTTCCTTTTGAAATGGCAGAACTCCCTTTTCAAATAGCAGGACTCCCCTTTCAAATAGCGGAGCTTTCCTTTCACATTGCGGAAATCCCTTTTCAAGGAGCCGAACTCCTCTTCAGTTAGCATAACTCTCGTTTCAAATAGCAGAACTCCCTTTTCAAATAGCAGAACTCTCTTTTCAATTGGCGAAGCGATAAACAGAACTCCCTTTTCAAATAGGGGAACTTTCTTTTCAAAGGGCAGATGTCCCTTTTCAAGTAGCAGAATTCCCTTTTCAAATAGGATAACTCCCTTTTAAAATAGGAAACCTTTCTTTCAAAATAGCAGAACTCTCTTTCAAAGTGCAGATCTCCCTTTTCAAAAACCAGAACTCCAATTTCGAATAGAAGAACTGCCTGTTCTAAGAGCAGAACTCCGTTTTCAAATAGCAGAAATCCCTTTTCAAATAGCTGATCTTTCTTTTCAAATAGCAGAACTCCCTTTTCAAATAGAAGAACTCCTTTTCAATTCGGAGAACTCCCTTTTTAAATAGAAGAACTCCCTTCTCAAACAGCAGAAGTCCCGTCGCAAACAGCACAACTCTCTTTTCAACTTGCGGAGCTTTCAATTGAAATAGCAGAACTTCCTTTTTAAAGAGCAGATCTCCATTTTCAAATAGCAGAATTCCCTTTTCATATAGGAGAACTTCCTTTTCAAATGGCGAAGCTTTCTTTCAAACTAGCCGAACTCCCTTTCAATGTGCAGATCTCCCTTTTGAAAAACCACAACTCCAATTTCGAGTGGTAGGACTGACTTTTCAAAGAGCAGAATTCCCTTTTTAAAAAGCAGAACTCCCTTTTCAAATAGCAGAACTCCCTTTTTCAATTAGTAGAACTTACTTTTCAATTAGAAGAACTCCGTTTTCAATGGCAGAACTCCCGTTTCCAATAGCGGAGCTGAGTTTTCAAATAGCAGTACTCCCTTTTCAAAGAACAGAACTCGTCCTAAGTTAGCAGAACTCCCTTTTCAAATAGCAGAACTCTCTTTTCAATTGGCGAAGCGAAAAACAGAACTCCCTTTTCAAATAGGGGAACTTTCTTTTCAAAGAGCAGATGTCCCTCTTCAAATAGCAGAATTCCCTTTTCAAATAGGATAACTCCCTTTCCAAATAGGAGAGCTTTCTTTCAAAACAGCAGAACTCTCTTTCAAAGTGCAGATCTCCCTTTTCAAAAATCAGAACTCCAATTTTGAATACAAGAACTGCCTGTTTTAAGAGCAGAACTCCCTTTTCAAATAGCAGAAATCCCTTTCAAATAGCACAACTCTCTTTTCAACTTGCGGAGCTTTCAATTGAAATAGCAGAACTTCCTTTTTAAAGAGCAGATCTCCATTTTCAAATAGCAGAATTCCTTTTCATATAGGAGAACTTTCTTTTCAAATGGCGAAGCTTTCTTTCAAAATAGCAATGATAATGATAATAATGATAATGAAATTACATTTGTATAGCGCATTTTTCATGTGGATATGTTCAAGAGCGCTTCTTACAGTAATAAATAGTATACAAATTATAAATATTAGATAAAAATATATTACAATAATGTTAAGAATTTATAAAAGTATCACAGCGATAACTAGAAGTAAAAATGGAACATGCACAAGCATTAATTAAAAGCTTCTAAGAATAGAAATGACTTTAGTAACTTTTTAAATGTGGCTGTTGAAGATGCAATCCTGATAGCTTTGGGAAGAGCGTTCCACAAAGTTGGGGCAGCGAGAGAAAATGATCGATCACCCAAGGTCTTAAGAGTTTTAAGTCTGGGGCGTTCTAGTAGACACGGATCAGAGTGGGATCTAAGGTTGTAGCTGGTGGGTTTTTTAATTGAGAGGAGCTCTTTAATGTACGTCGGAGCTTGATTGTTTAGGGCCTTGTATGTAATAAGAAGGATTTTAAAGTCGATGCGGGACTTAATCGGGAGCCAATGAAGATCATATAAGACAGGAGTGATATGATCGAACCGAGGAGTATTGCAGATAAACCGGACTGCCGCGTTTTGAACAGCTTGTAATTTCCTCAATTGGGTTGAAGGAAGGCCATAAGAAAGACTGTTACAGTAGTCCAGGCGGCTTATAACGAAAGCCTGCACAAGAATCTGAGTTGTATGTTGATCGAGGAACTTCCTAATACGTCTAATGTTATAAAGGTGAAAGAAGGCAGCAGAACTCTCTTTGAAAGTGCAGATCTCCCTTTTCATAAACCAGAACTCCAATTTCGAATAGAAGAACTGCCTGCTCAAAGAGCGGAACTCCCTTTTCAAATAGCAGAAATCCCTTTTCAAATAGCTGATCTTTCTTTTCAAATAGCAGAACTCCCTTCTCAAACAGCAGAAGTCCCGTTTCAAACAGCACAACTCTCTTTTCAACTTGCGGAGCTTTCATTTGAAATAGCAGAACTTCCTTTTCAAAGAGCAGATCTCCCATTTCAAATAGCAGATTTCCCTTTTCAAATAGGAGAACTCCCTTTTCAAATAGCAGAGCTTTCTTTCAAACTAGACGAACTCCCTTTCAATGTGCAGATCTCCCTTTTCAAAAACTACGACTCCAATTTCGAATAGAACGACTGCCTTTCAAAGAGCTGAACTCCATTTTCAAGTAGAAGAATTCCCTTTTCAAGTAGCGGATTTTACTTTTCAAATAGCAGAACTCCCTTTTAAAATGGCAGAACTCCCGTTTCCGATAGTGGAGCTGTGTTTTCAAATAGCAGTACTCCCTTTTCAAAGAACAGGACTCGTCGTCAATTAGAAGAATTCCCTTTCAAATAGCAGAACTCTCTTTTCAAATAGCAGAACTCACTTTTCAAATAGCAGAACTCCCTAATCAAATAGGAGAACTCCCTCTTCAAATAGCGGAGCTTTCTTTTCAAAGAGCAGAACTTCCTTCTCAAGTAGCTGACCTTCTTTTCAAATGGCAGAATTTACTTTTCAAATAGCGGAGCTCTCTTTTCAATGAGCCGAACTTCCTTTACAAATAGCAGAACTTCCTTTTCAAATAGCAGATCTTCCTTTTGAAATAACAGACTTCCCTTTGCAAAGAGCAGAACTCCCTTTTCAAATAGAAGAACTCCCTTTTTAAATACCAGAACTCCTATTTCAAATAGCAGAATCTCCTTTCAAATAGCAGAACTCCCTTTTCAAATAGCAGAACTCCATTTTCAATTAAGAAAACTCCCTTCTCAAATAGAAGAACTCCCTTTTCAAATAGCAGAACTCCCGTTTCAAATAGCAGAACTCCCTTTTCAAATAGCAGAACTCCCTTTTCAAATTGCAGAACTCTCTTTTCAATTAGCGAAACGAAAAACAGAACTCATTTTCAAATAGCGGAACTTTCTTTTCAAATAACAGAACTCGCTTTTCGAATAGCAGTACTCGCTTTTCAAATACCATAATTCCATTTTCAAATAGCAGAACTCCTTTTCAAAAGCGGAACTCCCTTTTCACATAGCGGAACTTCCTTTTCAAATAGCAGAACGTCCTTTTCAAATAGCGAAGCTTTCTTTTCAAAGAATAGTACTTCCTTTTCAAATAACAGAACTTCGTTTTCAAATAGCAGAATTCCATTTTGAAATAGCAGAACTCCCTTTTCAAAGAG